AGCCACGCTTCCCACTTACCCCTTTTCCCAAGCTGCAGTTGAGGCTGCAAGGCCATGGACCAGGTTCAGGCAGGGTGTGCAGTGACCCCTCCTCAGCCCACAGCCACCCCTGCTTCATCACTCCAAGGGCAGGAGCTCCAGCAGTAGGAAAGGAACCCCCCCCACTGCATCCTCCATCCTCTCCCCAGGCACCACACTGTGCACAAAGGCCTCACACCTTGGCTTTTCCCACAGGAGAAAGAGCTGCCTGGAGCACATCCTGCAAAGGGCTCCTTAACCCCATGGCCACAAGATGCTGAGTAACTGCAGCGCAGCAAAGGGACTGTCCCCAGCACCCCTCCGGGCTCTGCAGAGCAGGAAGCTTGTTCCCTTCCCAGAGGCCTGAGAGCCTCAAGCTGCAAGTACGGGGTGATGAGAGCACAGTGAGAGCTGGCACCAAGCTGAGACACAGCATCGTGATCCACAGGCAGGAATGAGCCAGCGGGTCGGGCTCCACCAACAGGGAAGAGACCAGAGTCCAGGCAGAGATGGAAAAAAACCAGAGAGAAGAATCATCTTTATTTGTGAAGTGTGTTAACAGAGGGAACAGTTCGCTGCTACCCAGCACTAAAGGTATTAGACTGCACTAAGCACTCGTCTGCTCCCAGGCCCCTACATCACAAACCACAACAGCTCAAGCACAAGAACACACGCGGTTAAACTGCCCCCAGCCCCACTGCAGCAAGGGGAGAAGAGATCCAACCCCCCGGGAGATAAGTTCACAGCCATGGTACCCATCCGTGTCCAGCTCCAATGCTGCCTCCTTGCTTGTTTAAGAGCATTTAAAGCTCTGGAGAAGCCAGCTGGGAATGACCACATGGAGCAGCCACTTCTGCACAAGGGAAAGGCGCAGCCTTGCTGCTGCTGCTGCACTGGGACAGACACAGAAGTGCCCTCTGAAACCCCTGCCCCAGCTCAGGTCGTCACCAGACCAGCACCAAAGCAGCACACGAGGAGCTGCACACACGTTGCTGCCCTTTCAGCTCTTATCCCAGCTCTCAAGCACTGCAGTGGGGCCAGGAGGGCATCCCTGCTCTTCCCATAGGTGAGGAAGGAAGGATGTTCTCCCACCCACCCCCCGTACCAACACCAAGAAACCTAAACAGACAGGCAGTGACTACCAGGAACAAGGGATTTACATTTACAGGTAGAAAACCCCTCCCACAACTCTTAAAAAAAAAAAGAAGAAAAAGTGTATTTTAGGTTCTACAACTGAAGTTTCTTTAGGAAGTGAAGGATCTGCGCTGCGAGGATGCTCTGGGGTATCTCCTGGTGCTATTTTACCCCCCAACAAAGATCTTAGAAGAAAATAAAGTTGTCCAGATGAGTTCTTCAGCTACATATCACCTGGGGGTGGGAGAGAAGGAAAAGCCAGTGAGACAACACAGTGGGACCAGTCAGGCTGTGCTAGAGGAGGGTGATGGAGCGGTGCAGGATGAAGGCTGGGGGCTGGGACTCATGTCCTGCTTGAGTTATCCCACAATCCTGACTTTCCCATGCTTTAGAGGAGTCCAACACTGTTTCCCCCCTTTCCCCTCTGCTGGTCCCCATGCAGTCCCAGCAGCTTTGGCAGGTTCCTACCAGGAACCTGAGCAACACACACTTCCCATCACTCCTTTAGCGTGATGCTGGGCCAGGGGAACCTCTGCTGCTTCCAGAGCCCCTCTGCACATGTAGATACTACAGAGCTCCAGGTAGGGTACAGCCCTGCAGCTCTCAGCTGCAATTCCACCCGGGAATGGCACTCACCTGGCCCCTGCTCTCAGTTAGCGTTTCTCTGGCGGACGTTCTTGTCCTTGTGGTTTGTGGCATTGCTTTTCCTGGGAAGAGAAAAGGGGCAGTGAGGAAAGAAACAGGAGAAAGCCCCACTGGTGGGCACGAGCTCAGGAGGAGCGAGCAGTGAGCAGCTGCAGCAAAGAGGCAGCAGGACACTGGGGAACATCAGCAAGGGCATCGCCAGCAGAGATAGAGATGTCATTGTCCCACTGAGCGCTTGTCAGGCCACACGTGGAGCACTGTGTTCACTTTGGGGCTCCACTACACAAAACAAGCTGTGGCCAGGATGGAGAGGAGCCAGAAGAGCCACAAAGGTGATCCAAGGACTCGGCAGTCCGTGAGGAAAGGCTGAGAGAGCTGAACGCTCCTTCAGCCTGGAGAAAAGGCGGCTCAGGGGAGACCTTACCCCCATGTTCCAGTGTTTAAAGGACAAAGACAATGAAGAGTCCCTTTCACAAGGAGTCAAATGGAAAGGAATTCCTGATGTAATTCAGGACCAAAGAGATGGCCAAGATAAGGCAAGAGGAGGTGAGCTGCCAGAAGAGTCAGTTTTTGAGTGCCATCTCCAGTTCTATGTGCTTTACACACAGGCCACATTCAGTGAACCACAGGGGGGAAGCTCCCAACCCAGCAAGCCAGAGTTATTCCCCCACCAGCCAGAGCCCATTCCCTGGATGTGATGTGCCAGGACGGATCTGGCTAAACAGGAAAGAGGCAGGTACTTACAGTGGGGCAGAGCCTCCATCATCATCTTCACATTCCGGGCAGCATGGAAGAAAGAAAGAACCAACATCAGGGCAGAGCATGGAAGATGTAATCTCTTAAAACCCTGGGGGCTGCATTCCAGGGATGTTACTGGATCCACTGAATACCACTGCCCCAACAGGACTGAACCCAAAGGTCAGCTCATCCCCAGGGCTCCTGTTACACCGTGAGCATTAAGCTGCTTCTTGTCTAAGCTTAGGCAAGGCACAGACTTAGACGTAAGCTGCTGTTACGCAGCAGCTTCTCTTGGCACAGGGTTGAGGCTGGGCTCGAGGGATAACAGAGCCCCCATCACCCCCCTGCTCCTGAGCACAGGTCAGGTCTGGTGCCTCATTAACCCTGAGGCATGAGGCAGACCTGAGACTGCCCCAGGAGCCAAAGGGAAGCAGCCAGAGAGGCTCTGAAGCAGCCCCATGGGCTGGTAACATCCATCTGGCATTCCTTGCCTGTGTAGCCCCAGCCCATTCCCGGTCCTTACAACGGGGAAAGGAGCAGATCCACCCAGTGAGGCTGCCACTGAGCTACCTGCTGCTGACCCTCAGGTGGTTCCCAAAGCTCAGGCTTCAACAGCAAGAGAAGGGGAATCCACAGAGGATGTTTTGGGACTGAGGCTCGCAGCAGCAGCAGCGTTCGGTGGGATGAGGATGAACACGGTGCACACCACAGTCCTGCCACACTGAGAAGCACAGCTAAGAGAAAACATCTCTACCACGTGCCAAGTCTTCCACCAGCTCCTTGCAACCTGCCATCTCCCAACAGAAGGTTCCCCATCTCCTCCACAGTCCAGGCTCCCCTCAAACAGCACCAAGCTCTGAAGCATCAGGGCTGCCTTGGGCACCAAGATCTGCAGGCAGCTGGTGGGAGGACAGAGGCAGAAAACACGGCTGGAACTAGCTCCTACTTACTTACCATGTGAGTGGCACCCAGCAGCAGAGAAGGGAAGAGTGGAAAGATAACACCAGCAAGGATATCACACCATACACAAGGGCCTCTCCCTACCCCAGGTAACAGGGAGCAGCCAATTCACAACCACACACCAGGAGGGGCAGCCTTTGAGCTCTCAAGAGGGGCAAAGCTACAAAAGCCCTCGGGGAAGAGAAGCACTTTACACCAAGGAAGTGTCAAGCTGTGTGTGATGATCCCCATTCACAAGTGCTTGGGAACCTGAGCTGAAAAGCTCTGCCCAAGGACACTTCAATATACACACCCTGCCTTTGTCCATGCAACAGCTCTGATGAGTCTGGACCAAGCTGATGCCATCAGCAGCCAGATCACTCACCACACACAAGGCTATAGATGGGTTTTGCACTGGAAGATGCAGCTAGAACATCCTTAAGGCATCTGCTCTGCACCCAAGAGCTTCGGAGGGACAAAGCATCTGCTTGTAAACCCACCCTGAGTGGAATTCTCCAACCCCTGTGGTCAGGGCAGGGCTATTTGGGTAATTGAGTCCCTCCCCTGCACCTCACCCCATGCCTGTCCCCTCGCCAAGGGGCTGACCCAGCAGGCAGGAAGGATACCAACCCTTTACACCTCATTGTTACTGGATCAGATAAGGCAGGAGCAGCTGGGCTCACACAATGCAGATCCTCACTGATAAGGAAAGGGAGGAGCTGGTATTTCCAGAACAGGTTAAAGATAGCACCAGGCTCCTGCAGTCAGGATGTGGGGATCTGAAGGTCCAAAACAGATCCATGAGCTGAGCCTGCTCTTCTGGAGCCACTGACAGAGCCCCTCGATTCTGCAGCACCAGAAAAACCTCTCCTACTTCTCCAGAACAGAGCCAAGGCAGCCCTGCTCCAGCGCCTGCACAACGCAGCAGCACCCTGAGACGAAGGCTCAGGCTGACCCCCACCAATCTCCTCTCACCCCAGACCCAAAGCACACCTTGCTGAAAGACCCTCCAACAGGGCCATTAGTTGCAACTTCACACCTAAAGCAGCCTGGGAAAGACCACCACGGTTCACAAAGGGAGCTCCACTTCTCTAGGAGAACACTTTGCCCGAACCCTACAAGTTCCTTCATCTCCCCCGGAAAGATTTAACCCCCCAGGCACCTCTTACCATCAAGAACCTCATCTGGCTTCCTCCTCTTCTCATAGATGAAGATGATGGTGACAAGAACAAGGACTTCTGCCACAATGCCCAGGAAGGGCCAGAGGGCTGCCAGGCGGCTGCGGACGCGCAGGCTCACCGTGGCGGTGCCCTGCCCGTAGGCATTGGTGGCATTGCAGTGGTAGTCACCCGAGTCCTCCTCGATGCTCAGCTTCAGGATGCGTAACTCTGTCCTGTTGCCACTGGACTTGATGATGTAGCGACCAGAACCATTGATGATGGGCTGGAGGGAGGGAGGAACACACAGCTCACGAGGGGACCTGCTCGCTCACCACGCGTGGTCCTGCCACTGCCATGGTGCTGACCATGCTTTGGTTCTGATGGAATGAGATCCCCCCACTTTGCTGGGCAGGAGCAGAACGGGAGAAGCAGCATCATGGCACAGCACTTACCTCTTGCCCATGTTTGTACCAGACCCAAGAGGTGACAGGGGGGAAGGAGTTGCACTTGCAGACCAGCACTCCTGTGTCCCCCTCATTGCCATGCTCAGACTTCTTGTACGCCGTCACCTGGGGTGGAACTATGGCAAGAGAAAGAGAATTCAGACACCTCCTTGCAGGAAACCCACAGGTTTGTACTCCCTGGGCACAAACAATTCCCCAGAAAGCTTGATTTTGGTTAGTGGGTCCTGTCCCCTCACTTGCCCACAGAAACCCTGATAAAACTGAGCTGCTGCTGGTAGCCCCGAGTCCTGCAGCTTTATGAGGAAGGGCTAAAAGCAGCTTGTCAAGAAGCTGAGAAGATACCAAAGTGTTGAGGAGGTCACAGCTTCCCCACTCCCTTCCTCGGGCCCAGAAGCCAATGAAGTTACCTGAGATATTCAAATGTCCTTTTATCACTGGGTTTGTTTTGTAGACGCATTCATAGACACCAGAGTGCTCTTCCATCTTCCCTTCGATCCTACCAAAAACCAGGAGAGCAGATGAGCACCCAGCACAAGTGCCTTGACCACAAAGAGACCCCAAACCCATGTAAAGAAACACAAAAAAGCATCAGCAATCTCCTCCATAGGCAGTTTTTCCCACAGAGACCTCACCACGAACCTCCAGCCTCCCCTTCACAGGCACCAGCTCCAACATGGGTCTGTCAAATCAGTGATCACTGAGACCTCAGGGGCTTGTGTCCTGATTCCTGGAGAGCAGCAGCTTTCTCTCCCTACCCCAAAGCACTCTGGCCATCAGGGCCTCTACAAAGGGAAGGAATTTCAGCCCTAGACTGTCAGCTAGTAGAGAGGAAAACCAGGAGCACCAGGACATTACACCCTCATGAGGTGCAGTGCCACAGGGACACACACTTCCACACTCTTCCCTCTTCCACACAGACCCCAGGCTGAGCAAAGTCCCCAGGATCTGAAGTGCAGCTCTCATTAAGCTACAACCTCATGGAAGGCATCAGCCCAGCCTCTAAAGAGCCAGGCAAGGAGCTTTGGACCACAGATCCCGAGCAAGGCTTTTCTTCCCATGCAGGAAAAGCCACCGCAACACATGGCAAAGCAGTGGGGAAAAGCCACCCAGGCTGGGTTACTCCAGATGGATCCAAGCTCAGCGCTAAATCTCCTGTTTCCCTTCTGTAAAGCTGCTGCAATGAGCTTGAGTGGATTATGCTGCACTGCAACAACCATCTCATCCTGCAGCCCGGTAAGAGCCGCTCCAGGGAAGGGGCAGCAAAGTTTGAGTCCCGGGGCTGGCCTGGGACAAGGGGCTGTTTGTTCCCTGTGCTGTGCGTGACGCTTCCCACTTCCCAAACCCACTCAGCTGAGGAATTGAGGTCACGCGAGGGAGGCTGGGTTATAAATACTTTAATCCTTGTTCAGCTCCCTGTTGCTATGGGGAGCCGGGCACGTCGGCACCGCCACACAAAGGGACATGATGCCTCTCCAGCTGCTGGGTCAGAGCCAGCCAGGCCTCACTGTAATGGGAAGGGAAAGCTCGCTGCACTGCTACAATGAGGCTGGTATTCCCACTGCCCCCCCAAAAAGCAGCTCCTTAGCACTGACCCCAACTGCAGGCAGCTTCCCAGCCTGTTCCACAGGAATGGCTGGACTTTGGGAAGGTACAAACAACCCCCCCAGGGCAGGGACAACATACACGGGAGGTTCTCATTCCACACATGGCCCCTGAGGATGAACTGCCCAGAGCAGGGGTCCCTCACAGCTCTGGCACAGCGGTGTCAGCCCCAGCCATGCTGCACGTAAAGCACCAGAAGGTCTTCCTAAGAGGATAGTTCTGGTGCTTCATTTTCCCTTCCTCCTCCTTTTTGCCCCTCTTCTCCCCACGGAGGGGAAAACGTTGGGCTTTGCCAACACTGAAGGTCTTTTCCAGCCTCCAGAATTGACTCCACGATTCCCAAAACCAGCTTCCTTTGCCCTTAAGTTTCAACTCCTCCATTTTCAGCAAGACTGCAGCCACTCAGAAGTCGATAGGAAACATTAACTGCCCCTGGCAAAGAAACCCTGTGCCCTGTGTTCCGATCCTTATCTGACCTTGCTCCCGACACTCACGTGTAGCTGGTGAAAGCGCTTGCGTCCGCATCCGTCTGAAGGATCTTGTCGCCGTGCGTCCACTCGTGCCCCTGGATGGGAAGATACTGCCCAGTCATGTTGCAGGCGAGGACCAGCTTCCCAGAAACACCCGTTACTTGAGCTTTGATGTCTGGACCTGCATTCGGAGACAATTCCATTGAAGTCAGCCCACGGCATTCCAGACGTGACGTGCCAAGAACCTCGAGTGCGAACCCCACAGCTCCTTGTCTCTATCCCAGCTTCCACTTACCTTTGTGAACAGTTTCCTACCAGAACTGACAACACCAGCAGAGGAGACTCAAAACCCAGGCACCGTGGGGATAACCCATGGTGATCCCACAGCCTCTCCCACCCTGAGCGGGATCGCTGCCTTGTGTCCTGGGGGATTCCGAGCCTCCTGCTGCCCCTACAACGGGCTCAATAAGCAATGGGAAAGGTGGTACCGTGAAGGGCAGGACATGGCTCTGCTCTTCAAAAACCCCGACCCCACCACAGCCCTCAGCCCCCAGAACCTGAGCAGGTTTAGACCCCACCAGGTAACCACTGAGCCCGTGTGCAAACAGCACGAGCATCGCCTGGTGCAGCCCAGGAGGTTACAGTTAGGACACGTAGAACCCTGGCTCCAAAAGGTCCTGGGCCTCCCCGTGCCAAGCAGCACTAAATTACACAGGAGATGAGTCAGGCTTGTGGGTGGCAGCCCAAGAGACGAGTCCCCAGCCCTGGTGGCACCACGGCTCCTACCCCTCCTCCCAGTGCTAAGCTCTTGGAAGGAACAACTTTTGCCCAGGCATTTTGCTCTTCCTCCTCCCCAAACTCCCCTGCAAGAAGGTTCTGCTGGAGGTGTGGATTCCCC